CCAGTACCCGCGTCATTGACGAAGCCTTGTCATTGGAGCGGTCTGCAATAAGTTTGCTCACCACCGGGTTTCGCATTGGTTGCAGCAAGCCGGATGTCAAATTCGTGGTTTCGAAGCTCCGCACCGGTCAATCAAACAGACCAGGTGAGGGGAAGCCCTGGACGTTCTCTGAGTGGCAGAGGGGAAGCTTGCTCGTTGCATGTACAGGCTGCATCTTTTGGCCTTGATGGCGCAGCCAAAGTCAATCAGGTGATGGCGAGCTCGAAGGCGACTTCCAATGGCTGTTGAATTTGGCGCAACCACCAAGTTCTTGCCGGCACTGGGGGGGCCCGAAACCAAGCAATCCGAGTTCGCATTTTGTCATTCATGGTCCTTATCACAGTCGTCCGACGACATGAAGCACACGACATCCCGCATCTAAGACGCACTACTTGCCCGCCGGCTATCTATCTATCTTATCTCAGCCATTATCTTCAGCAGCCGGGCGCCTCCAGAGAAGCTCAATTCCCCCTGGGGTTCACCCTTCGAGAAGGTGACAGGAATAATGGGAACGGCAGATAAGCAGGCAGTAGATCTGTTAGGGGATATGAGATGTGACAAATAACGGGGAGATGGGGGGCCGATGCGACGCTTCAATTTCTGAGAAACTGAGGCCCTTCCCTTACGCCCATCTGAGCAGCGAGCGCAAAGTCGCGCCGGCCGAGGCTCACGGGCAACCGGACTAAAAGCTAGAAGCTCGTCTTCAATGTGAGCAGCAGACTTTCTGACCGCAGCTTGCGACATTGAAGCTTTGCGAGTTCTGACGAGGAGATGACAGGTCGACCACTGGCAGTAGTGGACAGGACCCCTGGTGTCTTCGTCTTACTTTACGCTGACTGTCGTTATGTGGGAGGCGGCAACCAACTGTCAGGCTCCGATGAATGGGCCATAGCTTCACGCAGCCGGAACAGGGACATGCTTTGGCAACTCGGGAGTTAACATTGGGCGCAGTCTCACCCGGTGCAAGCCGAGCTTCAATCGACTTCAGAGGTAACCTCGAAGCCCAGGCCATCTCGCGATGCTACCTGGAAGCGTATGCGTCGAAGCCAAATTTGCCAATGTTTCTGTGCAGCCTGGTCTAAGTTTACCTGCCGATGCACTGCAAATCCGGAGCAATACCGCCACGATGCAGCGTCAATTGCACCCCCAAAGCTGCCTAGCCCGCAGCCCTACAACGACGGTCAACTTTGCCCAAAGGGGGGGTGTTTTTTCCTCCGAAGGGAAACGTTGGACATCCAAAACGGTTTCTTCAGTATCACTCAGTTCAACAGACGATAGCATATTGTTGCGCTCATTTCTGACGAACAAATTTATCCAGCAATGGCCGGCTTGGCGACGAATCCTCTTGAACAAAGAGCGTATCCACATCTTCACCGGTCACCCAAGTTAAGCAACTGGAATGTGATCTGCCCCCGACCCATGCCAGACCATGATGCAGACCGCGCTGCGGGCCACGCCGCACATGCACCGCCGTTGAACCATTCGGCTGAGCGAGATGCTGCTGCTGTCAGTTGTCATGGCCAGCAACCGCCTCGGCTCCGGCAAGAAAGCCACACCGGTCACCTCTCATCGAAGGTGTTGATGCCCATTCCGCTGTAAAATCAAGTTCAGCGGTCGCTCAAATGCATCCGAGGCTCAACATGGCATCACACACACATATGCCCACATGCTGACCGAGGCCACCTAGCATCTGATGTGGTCGTCCTCACACCCAGAGTCTTCCCCGACAGCCCCAGACTTTGGTCTCGTTGCGATGTCGCACAGCGCCCAAGACAACGCTTGCCAATGAGCGTTTCACCGTGCCTGACGCAGACACTCAGTTACCTGCGTATGTACGAATGACTACCGCAGCAACGCATCGCAACCCGGAACTATCCCTCATGTACAAATGACGTTGGAACGATGCCCGACATTCTCGACTGCAATGTCAGCTGAGACGCACAGCATCCCAGTCGCCAGCAAGACATTGGATTCCCATCCCTCTGATGCCCTTACCCGAAACCAAAGAGCCTGAAAGGCAATTGCCCGCCCGAAGACACATCAAAGACACGGTCTCGGGCTATCGGAATCGGCGATTGCGACTTTTTGACACCCCACGGAAAAGCCAAGTGACACGGCATCCCATCTTGCTGTTCATCCTTCTTCAAGTCCCTTGAAGACCTGACCCCGGGAGAGCAGCAGCAAGCATTTTTCAGATGACCATCCCATCGTGCGCACTAAGATGCGCACTAGCCCCCCACACCCCTTCTGGCTCTCATCATTCCCACGTTGGGCAGGTCGTCGCACCAGAACAGATACCGCGCGCCGTCGCGCTATTGTGCCTCCAACTCGTGGCGTGCGCGGGACGGTCCAGCTCTGTCACCAACGTGGCTCACTAACGGGCACCAAGAATCCTTACCGGCCTCTTCGCTCCTCGGCCTCAACCGCGAGAAACAGGAGCCAGAGAGGTTGTCACTGTCACCCACGGCTAATACCCCACGCCCAATTACCGTGGGTTTCAACGACCACATCCTGGTGGCCCATCCCAGTCACCTTCCCCTCTACACCAGATTGCTCACCGAGGACTTTCACCGTCCCCCTTCCTTTCTGTCGCAGATGCCCTCTCTCTACCTCGAGACTCGAGATAATCCAGCACTCGCAGAACGTGGGCGGCCCCGGCCCGCGTGGGATGTCCATCCCCCTCGTCCCAAAGCCCACGCCGTGCCTCCCACGTGAACTCTTACTCGATAACATTCTCCATTGGCGAAACATCTCAGTATCAAACCAGGCATGACGGCCGTATCCGTACAACGCGCCCAAGTGAGACTCTTGACTAACACGCCAGCCAGCCCGGTGCCCAATCGCTACCAGAACGTCAGACGTCCAGATTCGCCCCCAAAATCTGGCAACGCCTGCACTCACTCTCAGTCTCATGCACCGCCCCGTTTCCGTCCGGGAGCACGGAGCCCAACTCGCTGCACGTCAAAGAACGATTGCACAGCATCCCAAAGCATAGCACCTCCTCTCTTCACCGGTCAAGAACCACTACCCAAAAATCCTCCCCACCTGCTTGCTTTGAAGGCCTCCACACCAAGGCACTGACAGCTTGCCGTCTGGCAGCACTAAACAACCCTGTGACGTGTGGTAGCGCAGGAGCTAACTAGTCCTTCCTCCTCCTCCTGGCCCCCTCCCCTCTCCTCCTTCCCTGCAACCCTCAGCAATTTAGCCCAGTTAGTGACCGGTATATGGGAGCAAGGGGAGAGAGGCACACGCACACTCCACACATTCATCCTGCCCCCTCTCATAGAATGGCAAAGACGTGGACGTTGCGCTTGTCATCTCAACTAGTGAGCGGAGGGTGTTGGAATGAGAGGTAGTGGTGTGTGCAGTGCCCGATGCTTGAACCTTGGCTCGCTCCCCCTTCGCATACAAGCGCGAAAAGCAAAATGCAACATTGGTCAGCAGAAAAGGTTGATGAACTGTTAAGCGAGTATCGGTGATCTTGAGTTTTTTTTTAATCTCTGTCTTCTCTCTCGGTGGATGACGCCCTGTTCTGTATCTGCCAAGCGCATCTTGGTTTTGTGGTGTATGTACAATGTCGCTTCCCGAACCAAACCTCCCGATTGCCTGGTTGCCATATCTGGGGCGGTGGCAGCGAACGAAGCTCTCCCTTTCCACGGCTACATAAAATATGCAAACACCCGAAACACATGCGCTGCTAAACACCCGCCGCCGGGTTGCATACACAGGAAATTCCCAAACTCCTGCCATCACCTTAAATTCCTCCAAAACAAGACCATCATTCAACAAAAGCCCTGCCATAGCACTGGATGAAGACCGTCCCATGCGTGTGAGACTACCTAGTAGCCTTCGTCGAAACACCAGGCGGAAAAGACCGCAGCCCCAGAATCCAGAGCCGACAAGGCAAGAGGGCGGGCTAATGCAAAGCCACGAGAGGTGTGGTGGCTTTCGCTTCGCTTTCTCCCATCCCCTCCCCATCACCCACCACGGTAGTGTAGGGTGCAGCAGAGTGTGGACAGAACCGGTCCCGTCGCGCGTGTCCGTTGACCGGGGGGGAGGGGGACCAGGACGGCCTTAGCCCCGGGACCAAAGTCGGCTCGGCGTAGGCGCCCGAATAATGTTGGATAGTCTGCAACGCCGTCGTTCTTTCCCTGCGGTCCTTCCCGCCGTCTGGTATCGTAGTGCTGACTGATGTTGCTTGCTGTGTGTTGTGTGTGTCTCTTCGTGTACCCAAAAAGCCATCTGTATCTTTGTGTTGTCCCATCTCTTGCGTGTAACCCAAAACCTCAAAGCCCGCTTGTTCCATTTACAACGCCATTTGCAATGCTGTATCCATGAACACTCCTTCGAAACAAAACGCCGTAGACCGATAATGCAGGTTTGCACCTGCGGAGATAGTGTTTTCTTGTTCTTTTTTTTTTCTTTTGCCGAGCCGAAAGGGATCCTCCTCTTGTGGACTGGGCGAGACCACCGATGATCATCGCCCTCTCCACCCTCACATCACCGACTGTGACTGCAGACGGGCAACCATGAAGTCGTCTCTGCCCAGCACCATTTGCGTGTCGCGGAAATGCTGCTCTAGCGCGATGCAGCTCGTTGGCAGACTGGTGGGGATTCGTCGTTCTGCAGCAGTTGCGCAGTAGTCGGAGGTAATGTCGGCAAAAGCACCCCGACTAGCTGTCGAGCATGGTGTCTGTGTGACCACCATGTCTTGGGTGCGTTTCCCGCCAAAAAAACAAAGGGATAAAAAAAACAATGGATTTCTCAAGACAAACCCCGCATCTTCCTCATCCCATCATCGAGGAGAGCTTGACCCGGGAGGTCGGAGGAGGGAGCTGTCGGGAAATGCGAAATGTGATGAGCCGGAGGCGCTGCGTGCCGGATCTGCGCCTTTGCCCAGATGGACATAATTTGACGCGGTTGACCGTGATCGACAATAGAGCAAAAAATTGTGGACTCGATTACAAGCCGATGGGCGTGTTGTTGCGCCTGATCATGTTTTCCCAGGGGATGGGCGCCGAGGGTTTGCATTCACCTGCGAGTCGAGCTGTCAGTTTCACATCCTGCATGAGAAAAGAGAGAGCACATCTGAATGCAAGCACGCAAGGCATGCTGTGCTGTGCTGGTGCCTCGTTCGACCCAAATTGTGCTGCTGGTGCTGCCCACTCTGCCCACCCATGCCAGTCCCATTTCCGGCTGCTTGGTTGGAGTTGGGTGGGGGCAGCCCAGAGGGCCCTTTTTGCAGCAGGTGGAATGAATCCCTGCAAATCAAACGTGGGTGGGAGAGGCGCTGTCACGGCGGAGCGAGGCCCGCACGAGAGACACAGAGAGGGGGGAGGAGGGAGAGAGGCGGGAAAAGCGTCATGACATACTGCAAAGTTCATCGCCCCTGCCGATACACGTTAGTTACCTGCCATTCGGAGGTCGGAAGGGGGAAAAGAGTTGGCTTGGGCCTGGAGGATCTACGGAGGCATAGGGGAAAAAGAAATGGTCGTGACGTACCTGTACTCGAAGTGCGTGACGCACGGTTGACAGCGCTGCTGCGTGCGGATGTAAACTATGCACCAGCGGGAAACGATATAGCGCTTGTGACTGCAGCGGAATTCTCTCTGCAGAGAAGAATAGCATGTTAGTCTCTTGACGAGCCTTTTTCCTCAGAGTCAGATGCGTACTTGAGTGTAGTCGCACATGTTTCGTTGGTGAAGTATTCGGTGAAACCGTGGACGAGGTAACGGTAAATCGGGCCCAGTGGTGGTGGTGGTAGTGGTAGTGGTGGTGGTGTAAGTCGATGTGAACGCGGGTGTTGACGAGAGGCCGGATTGCGGAGGAGAAAAGTGAGGCCGTAGGGGTATTAACAGTTTAAAAGAAGGAAACAACAAGGTTTGGTCGTATTCTCGCAGCTAGGGCGTCGTGAAGGCTTCGTACAGAGGGAGGGTGGTGGGCACGATGTGATTTTAAACTCCAAGGTCGTTGGAATGTGAACAAGAGCGAGGTGGGAGGAGTGGTTCGTATGTATATAGCGTGTGTTGAGTGCTTCGGGGACAGAGAGGCGGAGGACGGACGAGAAGGATATGAATTAGAGTGGGCAACGCTAAAAAGGAACCCACGCAAAAGAATGTTGCCGGGATCAGTCTTGCAAGGCTTGCCGGTCCATATATACGCAAGTACCGCTACGTCGGAGGTATGCGAGTGAGGGAAGACATAAGACGGAGGAGCCAGCGCGAAGATGCCTGTGCAAAGACATCTCTGTCTGAGAGCCCGAAGGGAAGCCCAGTCAGCCCCCCCAGCGAGACTGGCGGGTGCACCAAGCATCTCGTTGGACCCAGTCCCAGGTCGTGATTGCCCATGCCGCTCTGCTAGACCCTCAGGCCTGCGAAGCCAACCTTGACAACCGACTGAGCGAGCGGATCGGGCAGGAAGAGGAGTGGACGAGTACGAACACTGGTCGTGGTAGGGGGCCGGGAGGGTGCGGTGCAACACGCCCTGGAGCCACTGGTTTTGACCTCTCAGAGCGCTGAAGCTCACCATCGCTCACTCGTTCGTTCCTCCAACCTTGGTATTCAGTTTCCCTCAGGCTCAGGCCGGGCCGAGGAGAGGGGGTGTGCGTAAGGTGAGTTTGTTTGGGCTTGGGAGCAAGCAGGTAAGTAAGGTCTGGTCTTGTCTTGGGGGAGTGTGCCGTGTTCTCGCTCAGCACCCAAGTCACCAACGTCCATGTACCGTACACCGTGCCTGCTGCGCAGCACCGGATTGCCCACGTACTTTACGGGGTAATAAGGCCAACCGAAGGCATGACATGCCCTGCTGCGAGACCCTTCTTCTGCTCTGGGTTCGCCCCCTGGTCCTCTCCGTCCAGATACGTGATTGCCCAGCAGGTACTCCGTCGTCCGTCTCTAGTTGGTGGTCCGTTTCCTCACCGGTCGCGACCTTTATATCGGTCTGAGACTTCATCTGGTCTGGTCTGCACCGGTGTGCTAGCAGAGTCGCCGCCAGCCAAATGAAGCAGCCAACGGGAGCATGTTTTTGCCCAACGGGCCCGTGTCTACCAGACGGCGGCACAGCCAAACAAAACAAAACAGCAGCAGTGGCATCAGCAGCAGGCGTAAATCGGTTTGGCCACCACAGCCACGCCAGCAAGTTCTGCTCGACCGTCTAGGCCTTGTCGTAGGGCAGTCTGCCCAATTTTGGTCGCTGGCACTAGTCGACGCCAGGGGAAATCCTCCCTCCGGACCGTCGCAGAGGAGCAACAAAACAGGCACCCGCCGGCTCATCCCCTAGAAGCTTGCGTCTGTACCAACTTCTATTCGACGGACGGCTGTGACGCGCAAAATTGAGGGGGACGCAAAACGGGAGAGAGCGCGGGTTGCACTTGGGATGGCGGTGATCCTAGGCCTAAGGACTGGCGCCTTGCCTGAAAAGGAACACTTGAGGAAACAGAGTTTCCTCACTGTGCGAAGCTAGCCCCCTTGGGAGATATCGTCGGGGAGCTCCTCGTTAGTGTGAACCCAGCTTTCATGGTCGTCTTGATGCTCTGTTGCCTCCCTCCATCCTGCGACAGCTCCATCGACTCCTGTCAGTCCGTCCCTGTCTGCCTCTTGCCAATTACCAATCGACAATGGGTCCCCAGACACATGACTTTCGACTTCTAGGCAGGGATTATGGAAGCAGTGAACGCACGTTCTCTGCGTGCCATCATGACCCAGACATTGCGCTGAGAGCTGCCGGGGTCCCTCGCTCAAGGGGTCTGGGCGATATTGCTGGCTGGAGCGTCCCATTAAATGCTGGCAAACGAGACGGCCCCAAGGAGAGAGGAAACAGTCCCGTCGAGAAGAAGACGGAACTGACACTGAGCAGCAGGGTGCATCAACCCTGTCGGTATCTTGACTCCCTCGACGGGTGGACGGGTGGGACACTGGATGCGCCTGAAGCCGGACAGGGATGACGACAAGAGCCGAAAGTTAAGGTACCTGCGTGTGGCTTCTGAGCGGACGGACGCGGTCCTCTGTGCTGTGCTGTGTACACAAATAGTAGCTCTTCGCAATCGCGTCAGAGAGAGATGTGAACGTAAGGGAGAGCATCACACAGCTCAGCAAGGGTAGGTGCTGGCGCAGACGACTGGTGCCGATGTGGGCTTGGCTTAATGATTGAGCGGTACTGGCTGATGGACGACCAGTGGCCACGGGCAGTCCAAACAGTTCCCCTTGCTAGTCCTTAGCGCGCCCTTTTTTGGTGGTGATTCTGGCCCCGATTATGCGCCACCTGAGTCAAGCAGTATTTCCCATGTCTAATGAGACTCTGGAACCTCAAGAACGAGCATCATGGTTGTAGCGATGGTTCATGACGGTCCAAAAAAGCCTAGCAACTGATAGAAGCTAGTTGCCTCACTTCTGATGCGAGTTAGGAATGCGCATCACACAAGACGACCATTGCAGGGCCTTGGCTGGTGATAAGTCTTCCGTACAATGTAACAGGAGGAGAACGGGAGGTCGAACATGTCTGCGCCGTCTTGGACCTGCCTCGTCGTCGTCGCATGCAATTGGCCGCGCGGGCCGGGTTTGTCTTATGCATGTCTTGTGCATCGATTTCTTGTAGAGCCCGGTATGGCGATATTCATGCCTCGGCAGTCCAATTACTTCTCGCGTGTCAATCTTGTCCGTACCCAAGTCAACGGACTGCAATCTGCATCGATGAGGAAACTGGAGAGAAGGTTTTGCGGACAGCTAGCCACCGCACGTGGCGATGACCCTGCGCATCGAAGATCATCAACGAGTTTGTCAAACCGAAACGACAGCCAGGCCACTTCACTGCCAGTTCGTGCCACTTTCTGGGCGGTCCATTGCAGATGAGCCAGCACGAGACCCTCTTCCTTTTTCCAATGGCCCTCAAGGTGCCGACGCTAACACAGCTTTTGCAGCCTTGAAACCTGGGCGTGGAAGCCCCCAACGCTGATACCATCATCTCCGAAGAAGAGATAAGGTCACCGCTTCTTCTGGCTGACGACATCTTCCATGAAGGACTTTGGGCATTAATCTTGCATCGTATTTGCCGGGATCGCCATCTCGAGTCCCACGAATGAGTAATTTGTCCACTTGCTGGCACCCTCAATCTTGCAGTCGTCTTCAAGCGATGATTGACAATCTCCACCATTAGCACATAGAAACCACCACTAGTTGCAGAACTTGTCCCATTTTCGGGGGCGTTTCAAATTCGCCTTGTCTTCGCTCACCAGCTGCTCTGTGTTCTGTTTCTCCGACTGGGTCATCCCTTCACCACGTGGAACGTCATTTCGACCGGCGGCGGGATGTCATCAACCGTCAACGGCGGTCCCATTGCTTTTCAACAGTCGTCCAGCCTTCCCGTCAGCCCCGGGTTCGTGCCGCCCGGCCCCGTAGCTGCTGTGTCGCTGATGGGTGTTCGTGCCTCGTGTTCAACAGGGAGATTGCCCGTCTTTGGAGATGGGGTAGTCCTCGTCGACAGACAAGAGTCGTCTGACCCACCGCGGCTAAGACCTCAAGCCCACCAGCACTCCAACGTTCTGGAGTGCTTCAACGGCAGAAGGCGTGACTTGCTTTGCAAAGTTGCATCTGCGATGTCGAGATGAAGTCTGGACTTGCTCTTGACTCAACAGGCCTGTGTCGGCATGTACCGGTCCTTTTGCAGATAGAATTCGACCATCTGTCTTGGCCCTTGTCCCATCCTAGGTCAGAATCACCGTGCGCTGCCTGCCGCTGGCGGCTGCAATGGAAATCCTAACGATCACTCCGTCGCAAAGCTTCAGCCCCAACGGTTAACCTCATTATACTTTCTGTGTTATCCGGCGACGTTGCATAGAAAGTCAAGTCAAAATTTGACGTCCGTGGAGATGCTGCCAGAGTCGAAAAGGCGTCGCGAAATTCGGCACCCGCGGCTGTGCGGTCGTCCTCAAAACCGCTGAAGCGTTGCTATTCGTCGTTAATCCCGAAGATCTTCTGGTGGCTCCGCCAGCGGTACCGCGACTCCTCCAAATGGAGCAACATGTTCCTCCAAGGCGCAGTGCGCTGGGTCCTATCAGGATCGACAATTTGTTCTTCACGTGGTGCGCAGGTGCCAGTGTGACTTCGATGCATGTTACTCGGACCAGGGTGTGAACTTTGAGCCTTGATGATGATGCCCCATGAAGGTCATTTCTGCATGTCAGTGCTTTGATGAGAAGTTAACTCTCGAAGCTCTGCACTTGTCGGCGGGGTTTGAACTTGATGAAGACCCGAGCGTGTTGCTGGAAATTGCCAGAATTGGCCAATGTGGTTATCGCATCAGTCAGGTGACGCGAATCTTCGCCCGGCGGTGGTCGAGCAGGATGTGATACCACTACACCGACATGTTCAACCGATGTGTCGCAATTAGAGACAAGCGATGGCTCTTCAACGGGACTATATGCCAGTATTCAACACTGGTTGGTCAAGTGCCATGTGTGAGGAAACCAGCATTTTCCTTATGTCCGAGCCAACCGGCGAAAAGCAAACCACTCAGCAATGCCTTTCAGCGGTTGAGCAGTACCTGGAGCCCTGCCCTGGCCATTTTAAACTTTCGAGGGAACCAATATGCGGGCGTCTTGAAAATCCTCTTGACCACAAAAAGCACTCGATGAGCATCCTGCCCCACACCGGTCAAGATGCCTCCAGGGGTGCAGTCCCGCTGCTTGTTGTCACGAGTG